TAAAATTATTTTAAATTTATTTCTAGTGAAAAAAATTTATATTATGTATTTGTAAGGTTTTATTATTTTATTTCTTAAACTGTGATTACTAAAAGTGAACATTATATTGCTTCTTGCCCAACTCTAATCCTGATGAAATCATGAGTTTTATTCTGGTTGGGAGAGGAAGTGATAGGGAGAGTGTCAAAGCATTATTGTCTTATAATTTTTAAAGCAACATATTTAAATATCTCATGATTTCGATACTTTTTTAATATTTCAATGCTCAATATATATACTGTAAATAGACTTCACCATGCAATCTTCCTGTGTTCCAGGAAGCCCTAAAGCTAATGATTCTGAGCTACAGAAACAGACTTTATTTTTCAAAATTCAGCATGTACATATGAGAACTAATTCAGTAAAAACAAATGTATTGATAAGTTGTACAATGCAGTCATGTAAGCTTATGTCAAAATCTTACATTTGATAGAGCTTCATTCTTACTAATATTACTGCAACCAGACATCACACTGATTGCCTTGTGGAATTTTATCCAAATAAGAAGAAATAAAGCTGAATCAGATAGTAAAATTAATGCAACATTAAAGAATAGCTATAGAAAACAAAATATGTTGCTTAGAACATCAGGAATGTATAAAAGATCCAAGAAAAATGTACAATCGTGGGAAAGAAGACAACCTACTACAATCTATTATTAGCACAATCATTTTATCCCCAAAGGCTGGACTATTCTTTGCCACTTTTCCTATTCTGGAATAGGAAACATTCAGAAATCAAGTAAGGCATACTATTCCTTGAGATACTCTCTGCAATTCTTGTAATTTTTTGTATTGTCATATGGAAGTGTGGATTCTGTCTCAGATTTGATTTGGATATGTTATAAATCTTAATAAAGTTTTCCATGAAAATAGTTATATACTTAAAAGCTTCTATTTTGCTGATAAACGTATATTCCAGAAAATAGGCACTTTAAACACTTAAAGAATAATAGTACAGTGTTAACAAAATATAATACTAATTCTAATCTGAACTGGCATAATCCTGCATGTTTATTCTCAAAGATGGGAATAATTATACATGGTAGTAATTTTATGTCAAAATACTGTAAAATACTCCCTTATACAAATATATGTTACTACTGGAATTATTTATTATTACATAAGGAGATTGGAGTCCTATAAGGAAACGATGAACGAACACATTTCAAAAAACACAGAGGCTTTAATTATTCTGTTTTAGTCCCTGAAGTATCCCGATCCTTCATGATTTGATGACGGTTATTCTTATCCTCCCTGAAATTAGTATCTACTTCTCAAGCATACTATTACTGAGCCTAAGAAACTACTTTTTTTGTGGCATCTACTATGAGTTCACTAAACATTGTAATTAATTGATTATCAGTTACATTATATGTAGATGATACCATTTTGAGAAGTAGAAGTAAAGACTTAGAAGGGTTCATAATGAAAGAAATAAATGTTAAATATAAAGATATAAGTCATGTTATATTAAGGCATGTTATATAAAGTCTTCTAAGTCTTTATTTCTACTTCTCAAAATGATATCATCTACATATATCCCATTTTTTTGACCTCCATTTTTAATTCCATGTCTTACGGTATTTCTTTCAATCCTGTCACTTATCTTTACTGGTTAAGTTAAACAGATATGACATCAGCATGCATCTTTGTCTCTCTATGGTACACATACCAACCCATAATATATGTACTATGATATTGTCCCAAATTGTTTATCCAAGTCTAGTTTGTATAATGTCTTTCCTTAAAAAGATTCCATATGACAATACAAAAAATTACAAGATAAAACCACATATTAACACTGCAATGTATTAAAATGCTTGAAATACAATATTATCCAACTCAGAATCAAGCCTTTCTGAATTCAAGTCTAAGGCAGGCAAAAAAGTATGTGAAGCAGCGTTTTCCCAACCAGATGCCCTCCATTAATAGGACTACAGCTCCCAAAATTCTAGACTAGATAGCCATTTACACCAGGATGGAAAGATATTCAAGATTTTTTTTCTTATGTTGTGCCAGATTACCCCTTCCACCAATTTCTTATACACATAGTAAGCTAAAAGAAACTAGAATAGGAATCCAAATTTACTAGAACTAGAAGGTAAACATGAGAGAAACAATTAGTATTAAAAAAATTATGGGTTCTTGATTAATTAGAAATAAAAGGCTGTTATTGAACTATCTTTTCACATAGTGAATGCTTCCAGTTCTTTTTCATTCAGAATACATACACTTTACTGAAATAAAAATAGTTTTTCCCTTTTGGATTTTCTGAGTTTTTGTACATCTTTCACACTGAATATTATAGGTTTCACTAATATGTAAAAGAAATATGAATAAACAAATGATGTTTGTGCTTTCATTTCATACCTGAGGTAATCCAATATGCGAAGTATAATTATGTAAATTCAGTCAGTTCAATCAAAGTGATAATTAGAACCAATTGTCTGAGTACTTCATTAAATAAGCCTGATTTGAACCAACCCAGTCTCTGTAAATCTACAAATTGTGGCTACCCTTACTCCAATGAAGGTCATATTATGCATGTTCCAGAGGAATATCAGTTTGGTCTAGTGCAGGGGTCGGCAACCTTGAAACACTCAAAAGAGCCACTTGGACCCGTTTCCCAGAGAAAACACTGGGAGCTGCAAAATTTGCATGCGCGCATGGGGGGGGGAAGCTTGATTTAAGAGTTTAATTAAAAAGAAATAGAGGCTACTATGCATGAGTTCTCTCTCTCCCTCCCTCCTCTCCCTCTCTTTGTCTCCCTCCCTCTCTCTCCGATCTTCTGCTCACCTGGCAAGCTGGCTTCACGCTGTTCTCCGACAAGCTGACACACATTCTTATTGGGCTGGCTCTCTGCTGCCCTTGGTCTGCCAATCCTCTTCCCCCACTCAGTGTGTGTGTGTGTGTGTGTGTGTGAGAGAGAGAGAGCTGCTGTTGCTTCCTGCTTCCTGCTGAGACACAGCAAAGGCAGGAGCCCCGTCCAATAAGCTTGTCAGCTTGTCCGAGAACAGCGTGAGGCCACTCTTTTTTACACACACACACACACACACACACACAGAGAGAGAGAGAGAGAGAGAGAGAGAGAGAGAGAGAGAGAAGGGAAGCGCAAATGCCTCTCTCTGTGTGCAAATGGCGGAGGAGGCTGGGAGCCACAGGAGAAGGCTCAAAGAGCCACATGCGGCTTCGGAGCTGCAGGTTGCCGACCCGTGGTCTGGTGGTTAAGGCACTAGGCTAGAAAATAGGCTATGATTTTAGCTCCCGCCTTAGCCATAAAAGCCAGCACCTTCCTCCTTCTATTTTACCCACAACAACCCTATAAGGTGGATTGGGCTGAGACTGTTACTGGCCAAAGTCATCCAGTTGGCTTTCATGCCTAAGGATGTACTTGAACTCATGGGCTCCTGATTTTTTAGCGTGGTGCCTTGAATCACTGGACCAAACTGGCTTATAATGCTGAAAGCAGTGGAAAGTTGTAATTAATATTGCTGAATAGAGATGTAGTGATGCTGTTGGAAATTAAGTCTTCATCCTGGTTCATCCAAGCCGGGGATAAATAAACAACATGGCGACTGCTTTGGGAAGAAGGTTTCAGTTTATTGAATAGCCAGACTGAAAGATGGTTCTGGCAGGAAGGAGGAGAGAAATCAAGGGGCTGAGCATATGTGGAGTAGGTTTTTATACCCTCTGAAAGCCTTTTGTTTGGAAGTTTCCTGTTCCTGTGGCATGAACTTTGAACTGAGTGGGCTTTTCTAGGCCTTGGTATCTGGTTTAATCCTATTATGTCCCAAAAGTCATATCCTGCTTCCCTGGGGCTTGGCTAATGAGGTATGCAGATTTTAGGTCTCTTTGTCTTCTTGAGTTTTCTGGCTCCAACTTTCTGATGGTTACATTTGCATTTGTATAGGGCTGGCTACTGCTTGGGACAGAGATTTGGGGGCAGGGTTGGTTTCTGCTTTTAAAAAATCCTTGAGGAAATATATTTTTCTGCCCTTTTAATATTTCCTTCTCTGGGGCTCTGACTTCCCTCAATGCAATGTATAAGGAAGAATGATACATTAGATTATGGTTTCCAAATTAAGAGTCAATTTTAATGACTATATTAAAATGACCCTAGTAGCTAATGAAATTAAACAAAAATAAGAATCAATCGACAATAAGGACATAAGACACTGATATAAAGTAGTGACGAAACGGACAGCATCTGGTTGCAGTTATTGCAACTAACAATGGTGCAGTTACTGAATTTAATATGGGGGGGATTTCACACTGGCGCGAAACATCGGATTACTTCAGGATTCTTGTTTGAAGAAACATGAAATGAGCACCCGTGGAAAGCATACTTAAAAATTAGGAAAACTCACTAAGGGTTTCCCCACAAAATGTATTTTGAAAACTAAATTTAGATTACAGTTAGGTCAGTTTAAGACACCCATTTTAACTAGACGACTGAGAACTGGGATCCCTATTTCGGAGGGATTGTATCCCCGCTTCAACTGAAGGACAACTTGAGCGTTTTACTGGATTATATATATAAAATCCAGTATATAAAAATAAATAAAATAAAAAAGCAGGCGGGCAACGGCACGTGCTGAGAGAAAATAGCTCAACCCTCCTTCCTTCTCCCCCGGCGGGAGAAACTAAAGACCGCAGTTCAAGGGGAAGGGCATTTAGCCGCTCGGCCCGCCCTGGGCGGGGAGCATGCGTGCGCTGCGGCTGGGCACGCGCGTGGTGGGGGAGGAGGACGGGAGAGCGCGGTGACGTCGCCAGGATGCGGGCAGGTTTCTGCCGCGTCCTCGTTCACCCGTCGGGCGTGTGCGGAGAGTCCCGGCTCGGCGACACCGGAGCCGCGGCCGCTTTCGTTGCCTCTCCGCGGGAGTGGCGATTAGCGCCTTTGGCGCTGGGTCTGGCCCCGCTTCCTCTCACCTGCCTCCCTCCGGAGCCCGGCCTGCCCTCTCTCCCTCCATCTTCTCGCCGAAGGAGATGCAGTGCTGAGATACCAGCACCCGGACCTTAAGAAAGATCGCCGCCCCCTACCTGAAAAGGTGACTGACATAGCCCGGGGTGGAAGGACGCTCGGTTTGACTGTCCCTTTTAACAAGCTTTGCCTGTCGGCGGAGCTTTCAGTGGTTCTGACCTCTGGCGGCAGCAGCACCAGCAGCAAACGGATAAATATGGAAAGGGGCAGTTTAGCCAAGGGAATTGGTGGTTTCTGGAAATGGTCACTGAAAAGCTGGCTAGAATAGAAGCTGTATTCTGGAATGGCTGGCCTCCTTACACACACACACACACACACAAAGCTGGCTAGAATAGAAGCTGTAAGAAGCTGTATTCTGGAATGGCTGGCCTCCTTACACACACACACACACACACACACACACACACACAAAGCTGGCTAGAATAGAAGCTGTATTCTGGAATGGCTGGCCTCCCTACCCTTACACACACACACACACACACACACACACTTTTCTCTCCAAGGAGTATCATCTTTTTCAACGTTTATTTAGAGGAGTTCACCTTCATTAGATATGTCACAGAATCTTTTTTAGACCGGTTTATCTTTTGGAACTAGACTAGGTTTGAAATCTTACAGCATTGCGCCTGACAGGACTCGCAGTGAAATAATGTTGGGTGGCATTTCTGTTTATTAAATAGGCATGACTTGTTGGTTTTCACACTCAGTTGGGGGAGGGTGGGTGTTTTAAAAATAGCCCATTTTCTTTTCCTTACCACAAAAAATGATTGATAGAAACAGCAATGCAGTTAAAATGGTTAAAAGTCCAAATGAAAGCCAAGAATATTTAAAAAAAACAAATCTTATCAACACACAGCAGCAGCGTTCAATGTGTATGGATGATAAGCAGCATGAAATTGTATATGGTTAGAATTCCAATACAGCTCAGTAAAACCCAGTTTGCTCTCATGGATATTTGCGCAGGTGTTTCCAATTCAAACCCAACTGTTCTTTTCTGCCTAATGCCTGCTATAAGTATTATGGACCATGACACACTTGTGTATTTGTGGGGAGGAGGATCTGGAGAAAGGTGTGTAAAGGATACCAGTTTTTCAGTTTCTCCTAATGGCTAGTGCATTGCTTAGGTATAATGAAAAAATCCCGCTGTTGATCTGCTTGGCTTTGACTCAGCAGATGTATACTCAATTCATTATAATTTATAAAGCCTAGTTTATGTCTCAATATTATATAGCTTGTTCAAGAAACATTGATTAAAATAAATTATAGTTTTATTTGATGTGTTTTTTTAACCAAACATGACTGGAATGAGCCATATAAGATATTTCTAGGTAAAAGAAGGCATGAGGAAAAGCCAAACATCTGTTTCTTATTATCATTTGAAGGTACACTGACAGCACAAGATGGTCTTAATTTGCATCCAGAAATGTTGTATCCCTAAAGTTAGTTTACATAGAGTGAAGCCTTAGCTTTCTACACCCCATGTTGCTATAAAACATTTATATTAAGCAGATGTTGGTCCAGTTGAAATAGCAACTGTAGCACGGTTTCCAAATCTTTGCATATTTATGACAGAAAGCATTTCTGAGTAAGGTTTTTGAATCTCATCTGCCAAACACAGAAGCTTTTATTTAGTAATATAGTGATTTATTTAAGATTCATATTGCTTGATAATCACAATAAGGAGAGGTCAAAGAAAGCTCTGATGAATCATTAGTTTGCATAGGGTCTTTAAGCAACTGTCTGCTTCAGTGAGTTGGAAGACAAATAAATACCCCTTGTAATAAATCATATGCAGACTTCAACATAAGCAGAAGATATTTCATTTCAAATAGTTTTTTTTTCATGAATGTAAATTTATATGGTAAAACTCTGTAGTCATCAATGTTCTTGGTTATACTTGGGAGAGAAGAAACTCTGGGAAACTGCTCAGGGAAATAGTAATCAACTAAAATCATTTCTGTTCCTTCCATTTATGGAATTCTTAGTTGGATCGGGGAGCTTTTCATGAGTAAGAGGCCAAATTGATATAACCAGTAATTGGTAAAGTCCATCTTTTGGATCTCATGGGCTCCTGCAAGTCTTTGTATTTAATATTTTAAAAAAATACAGAATGAACATCTGTAAACACTGAAAAGATGGAATAATCAATGTAAGGTGTTAGAAGTAGAGATTTGGGTCTGTGTATTTGAATCAGTATTGGCAATTGCCTGCACTAGTCCCTGCAACTTTCTTAGCAGTAGTTATGGAAGTGATTAGTGATGGCCATCTTCCTACAGCTGAGAGAAGACACTGACCAAAGACACCTAGTTGACTTCATGCTAAGGTGAGACTAGAACTCAGTCTCCTAGTTTGTAGCCTGATTTCTTTAATTACTATACTAAAATGGCTCTTGAGACTAATACATGTACTGCAATATTTAAGAATTCTATCCACAGCCTATTTTATCACTTGAGAAAAATACATCCATGATAACCAGTGAATGCCTCTTACAAGTTAAAGAGCCTCACTTCCCTTTGTTGGACAAAGGAATAATCTTACGCAATAGATTTAGAACTACGCAATAGATTTAGAACTATTTTAACAGTGAAGCTTGTCTGGAGTAATTGTTGAAAAATACGGTATACATTATTCTTTAAATAGTTTCATATTCTTTAAAAGAATAGAGAATATGCAATGTGTGAGGCTGTTAATGCAATAGCCAGATGGATTTCACTCTCCTTAGTGTGACTCACTTTTGAAGACACACATTTAAAGACACACATAAATGTGCTGTGTGAATTTGATCATAGCACTGGCTACTTGCTTGCTTTATCCAAATATAGGAATGTTTGGCTGAGCTAATGACACTTGATTTTAATAATGCTTGGTAGGAAATAATTATAGCCTTCATTTTCCCCCTAACTAGAAGTATAAAATCATTTTTCTGTGTGGAGATTTATTTTCTGTGGCTTAATTCAGTTATAATGTTGAAACGTGATCCCTAGTCATGTACAGGTAATCCTCAACTTATGACTGCAATTGGGACCGGAATTTCACTTGTAAGTCATGACTGTTGTAAGTTGAGGCACTCATGTGACAAGACTGGTTTTACAATTGTTTTTATGGTGATTGTTAAATGAATCATGTGGTTGTAAGTGGAAATCCATTCTCCTGAATGGGCGTTTTAGCCAGAAACCGTCAAAAGAGTCGCAAATTGTAGTCACATGACAATGGGACACTGCAACTACTTAGCCATTTTACAAGTGCCCAAAATGCAGTCAAGTGTCCATGGGAAGGGGAAGGCAGCACGACATTTATGACAACCAGAAGTGCTTTATAGACTGTAAAACACACTTTCTGAGGTTGTCATAACTTTGAACAGTCTCATTAAATCACCAGTCATAAATTGGGGACTACCTGAATTTAAAGGCATTAATTTAATGAGTTTTCTCATGTTGTAGTTATAATGAGGACCAAGGCATGGTGGGTGCACATTTGATTCTGTATATTGCTTTAAGAAGTATAACAATAAAGTCACGGGAAATGATTTTTTTAACAATATATTGTCAAACGACAGCCTTTTATTTTGGTATCTCTATTAAATTTATGGAGAACCAGTTTGGTATAATGGTTAAAAGCACAAGGCCAGAAACCAGAAAATCCTGAATTCTAGTTCTGCTTCAGGCACAAAGCCAGCTGGGTAATTTTGGGTCAGTCACTCTTTCTCAATCATAAGAAGGCAGTTGCAAACCAATTTCAAATTTGTTACCAAGAAAACTGAATGGTTTTTCTCAGGCAGCCTCTAGGAAATGAGTCTGAATCAAGGTACAAAATAGAAAAAAATAAGGTGCATGATTATGGAAGGGATTTTTAAAAGTAGCAAAGATATACAGTATGCTAGCATAAGAAATAGCAGCATTATTCAAACTATGTTTTCAGTATCAAGTATAAGATCTAATATAAGATCTTTGGTATTAAAAAGATGTGGAGCACTAAAAGATGCTTCTGAGGGAAGTGGCTGAAGAATTTTTGAAAAGATGCAGGATGGTTACAAGAAGGAAATCCTTTTGTCTGGGCTACCTTATCTCCTAAATATATTATGAAAGCTGGGTAATTGCACAATGAAAGTTTTGTTCACAAGTATTCTTAAGGCAGAAAAGCATAAATAGATGGACTGGTGTCTGTTAAAATATTTATGTTTTTGAACTAGAAGAATGAATGAAAATAACGAGTGGATGACAAAGGAGAACATTCCCATTGTACAGTATTGCTCAAAAAATATGGGTTGAAGGTGTTTTTGAGTGTCTTTGGTATATATAATTATATATACCAAAGTAATTTATAATCGCAAGACCTGATGTTTGATGAGCTTGCAAGATTTTCAGTCTTGCAATAAATGATTTGGCCACATAATTAATTGGGAAAAAATAGAAATGCAAAGTAATGTTACTGAACAAAAAAAGTGCCATTTTTATTACTATGAACATGTTTATTAAAAGGTACAATATTTAAAATCTTGGCATAATCTTTAATTAGTTAATAGTCAGATACAGCTTTTTAAAGAAAATCCCTAACTGAGAATAGCATCTTGGCATTTTGAGTTAGTATGGTAATGTAGTTTTAATATTTGAGGCAGGATTTTTTATTTGGTACAGTTTTTTATAAAAACTGTACCGAACCTATATAGTGGTAATACTGAATTGCCATCTTCTTATGACCTACATTGGTGGTCCATGTTGTATGCATGATCATGTTTATTCTGGTCAGTTTTGTCCTTTAAGATATTTCTGTGAAGGCTGGTCAGGTAAGTCCTTGCTACTGAACACTTGTTCAGCAACCGTTCAAAGTTATGACACACTAAAAAGTGAGACTTATGACTGGTCCTCAAAGTTGAGGCTATTGCAGCTTCCTGTAGCCACATGATCACCAACTGCAACCTTCACAGCAGGCTCTTGAGAAGCAAAGTCAGTGGGAAAGCCAACAGAAAGTTGCGAGTCATGTGATGTCATGCTTAATAAGGCCACCATTTAGTAATAGAGATGCCGGTCGCCATTGTGATCGTTAAGTAAGGATTACCTGGAAACAATAAGCTTATGAGCCGGAAGAAATTCTAGTTTATTGAAAATAATGCCCAAATTAGGGCAATTTTATTTTAATGAAATGAAATATTTAAAAAGGTTGCTGTCTGTATGCTTTTATTGCTCCTGAACTCCTTACCAGTAGAAAAGCCTGATCTAGACCACTCAGACCATTAATATAACTAATGTAGTGTTATATATTCCTGGCAGTAAATCTTGAAAGTTTATTCGACTCTTCCAAGTTAATTTATAAGTAGAGATGCCAAGATCTCAGTACCCTCTTCAGTAGATAAATATGTTTGGCAGTTTAATTGTCTAGAACCATTTTATTCTTATCTAGTCATGGCAACTAGACTTTTTTCTTTTTTATGGTTTGAAACATTTTGCTGCTTATTGAAGTAGCTTCTTCAGTCTGAAAAACTGAACTTAGACTGAAGAAACTACTTGGATAAGCAGCAAAATGTTTCAAACAAAAAAAGAAAAAGTCCAGTTGCCATGGTTCCCACTTAAAGACAACTCTACTTGGGTGACCAAGAATCTTCATTGATATTTTACTTTTAGTTTCTACACTCGTTTTATTGACAAAAGGAAGCTGTCTAGAATAGCTAAAAAAGAGGCAGTAATAGTAAATAATAATATTAAACTTGGTATACTGCCCAACTCTCAATGTCCTTGGGTTGCTGATAACAAAGGAATTACAATAAAAGCAATAAGTAGTATCTAATTGGAAAAAAAATCATTTCAATTATTCTGTGCCAAGGAGTTTTTATTTACCGTTGCTGTGTCCCAAGGTTCAGTGATCACCTTTTGTGACCTTCTGACAAGCAAACGCAATGAGGTAATCAGATTCACTTAATAACTGGGTTACTAATTTATCAACTGCAGTGATTCACTTAAGAACTGTGGCAATAAAGGTTGTAAAATGGGGCAAAACTCACTTAACAAATGTTTCACAACAACAGAAATTTTGGGCTCCATTGTGGTCTTAAATCGAGGATTACCTGGTAAAGGATACAAACCATGAAATAGAAAGGAATCTAATCAGCCAACTAGTGAGGCCAGATTGCTGGTTTTCTGCCAATAAGGAATGGATAGATGTGCAGGTTATATGAAAAAATGAGTGCTCATAGGCAGTTCCTTCTCCTTTTTTCCTAACCAGCTGCAATAATTGTAGTCAAACCATTAATTAAATATAACTGAAATTACAGTCCTAATCTGTATTTCTGGAGCCATTTTAACACAGCTGGTAATTTTTAGAGATTTGTCTGCAAATTATGTCTTTTTTCTTAGCCCTATTTTCACATTACTTATTAAGTATACATTACATCAACTTCATCTGCCAAATAGTCTGTGTGCATATACTTGTATACGCTTCATTCTTTTTCAGATAATATGTTGATATGAACAACTGAACTTTTTGTGATAAAATCTCAAAAAACTCTCCAGAATGAATAAATTGAAAATGGCATCAGAAAAAAGGTAATCAGTAAGAAAACAATTTCATTGTGGTTTTTTTTAAATTCTGATTTGTAAGAATTGGATTGCTTTTTCCCTTTCTCTTGTCTTCTCTTTCATTTTTTTTGCAACTCCTGATTTTAATCTTTGAACTTTATGTGTAAGTGTACTCAAAATGATAATGTTCCTGATTGTGTGATAGCAAACCTGATTATTAAAAAGTTAATTGAAAACTGAAATATGTGTATTTGGAAAACTAGTATTAGTATACCATGGCTTTCTCCAAAGATTTAACATAGAAAGCTTTCTTACAAAAATAAAAGAACTAATCTTTTGCCATGAAATTCTAATATCTTACAATATCTTCTAACAATAAGAATCTTTTTGAAGTTACCTTTGTTTATGAAAGTGATATATAGTTTCATAACCCAAAATCTGATTCATAAAATTGAACTGATTATTTTTCCTTTTATGCCCAGATGATAGTTTTAATGTATTTAAGTGTATTTTAATATTATTTTTACGTAATAATCTTCAAAATTATTAACATTTTTAAGTTTAATTGGAAAATAAACATTGAGAAGAATTATCTAACAGAGGGGGACTATGTTCAGTAGGTTTTCTGTAAAATTAAAATTATTACTATCTTTTTATACTATAATTACGAGAATAAATTTAACTTGTAGTGTGCAAAAATACTGTTTGGATTAAATAACTGAAGTAAAATAAAATTGATAATATATGTGGAATCTCTGTTGTATTTGAACTTGTTAGATGTGCAAGCTATTAGAAAAACATAAGACATGAAGCAAAATGTTACGTACCAAGCTCTCTTAGAGTATCAGCCAAGCAGCCATTGCATGTCTGTCTATTTTAGATTTTCTTTCTATTTGTTTTTGTTGAGCATTTTTGTGTTGCTACATAGCTTTGAATTTTCTGTCCTCAATTAGGACTGTTTATTCTTTCATCTCCTGTGTAGATATTGGCAGTACTGTGTATAACTCATAGCTTGAGACACAATTGGCTTGGGTTCTATGCAATATGTATTCCAAAATAATATAAATATATTTGTGTTTCGCATTATTTTTTTACATTTCTATCTGAGAATTGCTTTCAGCTAAGCCAGTGATACCAATGATAAAGGTACTACATCTGGAATGATTATTTTTTAAATATGGGCTGATTTTTCCTAGCAGAGATATGTTTGAGAAATAGCGTGGAATAGGATACATACACATACAACGTTTCACAATAGGGAAACATTTGATAAATCTTATATATAATTGTTTGCAAAATAAGGAAGTTTAAATGTTCTCATTCTAGGAATCAAATATTATGCTCTAGATGAGATTGTATCATTTTTTCCTGCATTTGATTAATTTGTAACATACTCAGTTCAAAAAATTTCCTTCCTATATTTTCATACCTCATATCAATTAGTTATGTCTACATGCTTGTCAGATTTCAACTTTTGTGTAAGCTGTCTACAAATCTTTTACACCAAACATTTTTTTTTCAATTTCATTATCTTGCGAGAGTACTCTGTGGGACATAATAGGTAGCAGAGTATCAGTAAGAATACTATGTGCATATTTTGTCACAAATCCTTAATACAATGTCTGTACATTTAAGAAATATCATTTTAAAATAAAACACTTAAATTAAAACAAACTACATTTGTTCAAATTGGTTAAAATAGAACAGTTAGTTATATTTTAACTTTGGAGATAAATAGAAAAATGTAAAAAAAGAAATGGAATAGTTTGTTAATGAATTATTAACATATATTCCAAAAAATGGAAATGGAATTCTCCGAATTACCCATAGAATTAGAAAAATATTTCATAAATTATGAAAAAGAATATATTTTTGTCCTTGCTGAGCTCAGTGGATGGATCCAAAGGCTATGCATGTTGAAAATTGCTGTTTTTATTTGTTCCTTTTCCCAACTGCTTTATGTACTACGAAAGGTATAAGTACCAGGAAATATTGGGTGGAAATAATTATAATTGATTGTGTAACTTGCATGCAGCATAATCACATTTACTTTATGTAAAGATAAATATAGTCTGAAATTTTTGTCTAATCATGGCTTTCTGGTTGAATGCCATATTTGTGAAATGACCCTTTTATTATTTTGAATAAAACTTACTCCCAAAGAAGTATTACTATTACATTTGTACCAGAATCAGTCTTTTGAATTCTGTAAAACAATCTCAAGGTTTCTGGGTTTAGTCTTGAAGGAACTATGGCCTTATGACATGAAGTGGTTGCCCTGGTAACATACCATATAGCAGTTGTGTCTTGATCTGGCTCTAGAATTAGATCACTGTTTAAGGAATGATTAAGCTATAGGTTACACTTAGTTTTCAGTTTGGATGAAGACATTTTTAGAAGAAAGAATGCAGGAATGAGGCGTAGTCACCGATTCCATGTTACAGTCAGGATGTTTAAACCACTTGGAAAGTGGGTAGCTCTGGACAACTCCGCTCAGTCTTGGCAAGACGGAAATATTTCTCGGTAAGTTGGAAAGCCTGAGAAAGAGTAGCAATATTGAAACAAAGAAATGTTACTCAAATATTGAGCAACATTTATCCAAACTATCGAAATGCTCAATTAATCCATATCAGTACTGATAATGGCCAGAATTTCCCTAATACTGTTTTTTAAACTATGGAAGGAAAAACATGCTTATATTTTACTGATATTTTAAATCATTAAACCATTTTTAATGAAATATTTCTGTTTGTTTCATGGCCAGTCTCTCAATGTAGTTTCCTAAGGAAAATGAAAATTGTTTCTGAAATATACTGTCAAAACTTAAATTAAGTTACATGAATTAAAATTTTAATGCTGCCCAGCTCATGATATGTAGAGAATTGAATGAAGCAGTGTAGAGGAGCATCCTTAGTACCCCATTGTTCAAATTGGTTCAGGGCTAGGAGGAAAAAAAAAGGTTTTAAGGATGTTTTTGAAAATAAAACCAGGGTGGTAGCGATATAAATCTTTTGCCCTGTTCCAGAGGGCAAAAACAGTAGCAAAGAAGGCCTACTTTCCTGTCTTGCCTTACCAGGTGACTGTTTAATTGATGGGGCCCAGAGCTTGCCAACAGTGTCCAAACAAGCAGACATACACCTGTGCCATTGACGGCTTTAATAGACAGCACCTCACTTAGCAACTTCATATAGATGTTAAACAACAGGAGTGAAAGTGTCAAACCTTGTAGTACCCTGCATAATAATACAGGAACCTGGCAACCACTTCCCCATTATCAATATTGACTAGAACTTACCTTGGAGAAAAGAAAATCACAGAAACTCCATGTTCCCCAAATCTAATCATAAGTATTCTAGAAGGATGCCGTGGTTGATGATATCAAAGGCTGCTAAGAGTTCAAGAACTAGGATGGTTGCACTCCATCCTGACTCTGCCAGAGTTCATTGAAAAGTGACCAAGATTTCTCAGTAGTATGTATGGTGTGAAACCTGACTGAGAGAAATATATAATTTGTTTTCTTCAGGACCCTTTGAAGATGTAGCCCAGTGATGGCGAATCTTTTAGAGACCGAGTGCCCAAACTGCAATCCAAAACCCATTTATGCATCGTCGGGTGCCGGGTGGGTGTGGCCCATTGGGTGGGTGTGGCCCATTGGGTGGGCGTGGCTGCGGTGGTAACAGCAGACTGGGTGGGACTAAAAAGTTCAATCAATCAATTCCAACTTTGCAAGATCTTTTTTTTCCCCCGCGAGAAGTTTAAATTGACTGATTGATTGAACCTTTTTTTTTGTACACAGTGGCCGAGGCCTAAAGTGAAAAGGTTTTATAAAACCCAGCTGAAGGCCTAGGATTGGGCGACGGCGCGAGTGCCCACAGAGAGGGCTCTGAGTGCCGCCTCTGGCACCCGTGCCATAGGTTCGCCACCACTGATGTAGCCCAATCACCTTCTCAACAATTTTCTCCAAAATGAGAAACTAGGGACTGGACAAAAATTGTTCAGAATTGTGGGATCTAGTAACAGCTTCCATTTATATCTACCTTTTATTGTACATGTATGTTTGTGCATATGTAATTTTGTATTGAAGATTTTAAAGACAGTAATAGAAACTAAGAAAATTAAACTCAGAGAAAGAAAGGAAAAAGAAAGTAAGGAAAAAGAAACAAAATATATAAAGAAGCGATTTCCAATCTTCATCACAAGTATAAACAAATTTGATGGCTCTTCACCCCTTAGAAGGTTACAAACAGATATCTATTCTTCCCATAACCTATCTATAAACAAATTCATAAGACATCAACTTTTCAATCTTGATATAAGCTAAAAATCTCTAATTGCCAGGACTTTATGAAAACAATTCTTATTTTAATTTTGATAAAGTAAACCAAGTTTATATTCTTTCCTTTTCCTTTTCCTCAATCTTTAATTCATTCCAATATTGTCATGGGATTTGATTTCTCTTCTTCTTGGTCCCATTGAAAAAGCTTTGAGGCTCTAACAAGCCTCTTTTGTAAATGGACAAAATGATATTGTCCAGGCCATTCTCATTTGTATTTCCCCTTTAATTTTAAAATTTCAGCCAGCTTCTTTTATACATCCAATAAAGAGTTCCTATGCAGGTCTTTCTCTTGGTCTGTCACCTGTATTTACATTTTAAATGCCTTCTTTGTCTTGCAACCCACACTTTTTTCATTACCCAAAATTGCTTATCAGAAAGATCTTATTTAACTGTCCCTGTTGTGATTGGTACTGGGTTGTGTGTTGTTACCCAAAGAAAAAACACTTTTACGCAATGTATAATAATAATGATAAAATTTGAAGGGACCTCGGAGGTCATCTAGTCCAACCTCCTGCTCAGGCAGGAAACCCTATACCATTTCGGACAAATGGCTGTCCAGTTTCTTCTTAAAAACTTCCAGTGTTGGAGCATTCACCGCTTCTGGAGGCAGGTTGTTCCACTGGTTAATTGTTCTAACTGTCAGGAAGTTTCTCCTTAGTTCTAGGTTGCTTCTCTCCNTCTCCGAGACCGC